AGAGATGTCATCATTATAACATAATGTATTACATGATGTAACTTAGTAGAAATGAATTGAAATGTATGGAAAAAATAATATACCAACCATCGCTGACGCTGCATACCCATGAAAGCACAAAGAAGAAATATTAGAATTATTGCTAGTAATATCAATAAAACATACATATGTATAATATACATTTAACAGATAATTAAATTTAGTACTAGAAAATATGTAAGGAATATGTTATTGTGTTTTTATTATATTCCTTCTATCATAAAAGCGCTATAAAATATAGGTAGGTAAAACATATAGATAGGATTTCTTTTTCTAAGTTTTTTTTGCCTTAAATCTACGACATTTTCCTCAGCATTCAAACCTGATATTTACACAATAGTTTCATCACATATATCCAAATATTTTGTTTAATAACCTCTTCTGAATTTATATCCTATCAAAAAATTGCACAGAGTAGTTTATTCTGTAAACATACATTAGAGGGATTAAAATCGACATCTACGTTTCTGTTACATTATTGCCCACAGGTTTCGCCCTAGCAGCCAGTGATTTTCTTCACTTCATTTGCTTGGGAACAACAGTGAAGGATAGTAACACAGTGGAATGCATGAGTAATCAGAAAATAAAGAAATGCCATTCTTGTGAAAAGAGATGGGCAAGGGGCCTTGTCAGAACAAGTAACTTGCAGGGACCTTCAATACTGTAACTATTTAGGACCAGAATAAATGGAATAAGGGTCAAAATAAAATGGGTGTGGTAAACTGAAAAATCCAGCTGATTACCTTAATTTCTCTTGTATGTGAATGGGTGGGTTAAGAAAACCCATTTGGGGTTAAACCTGGCATAGAACCAAGCAAGATGGATGATGACAACCTGCCACAGTGGGGGTAAGGAAAGTCAGAAAAGGACAATTTACCTATTTTCTGCATGGTCGCAATCAAATCTGGCAAGGGACTCAGGAACCTTACTATTTTGGATGATATGAGTTTGAAAGATCCCTCATAGAAGAGGTGCAGTTATATGGAAGAGAAAACTTGTCTGTTGTTAGAAAATGATGCATTTTATGGTGAGTGCATTCTTCCTTGATGACCTTACAAGAATTACAATCAGTTGTCTTCAAGCCACGCAATTTGTGTCATCTCCATAAAATAAGTTGGTGCTTCTCCACAAGCAAAGTGAATTTAGGCACATTTCCTTAGGAAAGTCTTTTATAAGCTTCTTTGGTTTATAAATAAGAGTGTGCAAAAACTGCAAGTGAGTGCAGAGAAAGTATCTTATAGATATTGAGAAGCTCTCTGGCAATAACTGAAGTAGCTTCCTTCTCTTCTTTTGCAAAGCAACACTTACCGCTGAGCATGAATGACCCACTATAGGATTATATCTCTCTCTTAAAAGCCCAGTATTTCATGGAAACAACTTTTTGTTTTGTTTTGTTTCTTTGCAGTTGTAAACATTTGAAATCACCTGCATCTCATCTAGTTTGGACTGAATGTCTGGAGGGAAATCTCCTGCTCCGCAGCTAAATGGGTCAAAAGGTTCTGCTCCAAAAAGGTCTCTCTCTAGAAAGAATAAAATACAAAGAGTCAGCAGAAGATGACGGCTGGAGCACATATAAACCCACATACTAAGACAACAGATCAAATGCACCTAGCGCTATGTTGTATTCTAAAAGGACAAACTATGGAAGGCTCTATTGAGCCTGTCATTTTAGAGCACTGCATTTCATCCTGGGACTGATTTAATTTTCATTTGCTTGTTTTCCCGATATACATATCCAAGATGCAACATTAGTAAGCTGTTCTAGCAAGCGATTCCCCATTGATTAGCTTGTTGGTTTGGGTAATGACTACACAGCAGGTATACATTTCTTTAGGTTACGTCAAGTCATTCCAGAACTTACTGATCTCTGCAGATCTGCTGGGCACTGGTGGAGGCTGTGTGCCATTGCGAGTAGGTGTTGATGGCTTAGGGGATATGGGAGAAAACGGAACCATATCAAAGATGTCAGTGGAAGGAGATATTGGTGTCACACTGCCTGCCTACAATAAGGAAAATAAATAAGGATAATATTTCATAATATTAAACAAACAGTATTGAATCTGCATGCAGAAAGGATGATCCAACAAAGCCACTGGCTAAACAAAGAATTGAGACCGAAGAAATAGCATTTGTAGCCCAAGGTTTAGGAAACATGCTGAAACCTTTGCACAAACTATTAAAACATTTCACATTTTGAACCTGTCCTAGGTATCCTGAATTAAGTGAATTTTAAAAAAGAGCTGGAAAAAAGAGTATAAACATCTTTTGAATTAAGAAAGAGATGCTCTTTACTGGGACAGCAGATTATAAATCAGGATGAATGGACAAGAGACTGAAATTCAGAGATATCTTCTTTTATTAACTCCATGTTCCACAATAATTGCATTAATATTTTGCCAACCTGATAGAATGATTATTCTAAATGCTGGGAAAGGGTTTTGAAATATTATTATTATTATTATTATTATTACTACTATTATTATTATTAAATAATGAAATTTATAGGCTGCCTGACTCCCACCAACCCTGGATGGTTGCTGTAATCTGGAGACTTAGGTATTAATGGAAATGCAAATATGAATCCATTTATGTAGGTTTAATGCTCCAAAGATCCCATTACTAGATAAAACCTAAGGGCATCTTTAGGTTCAGCTAAATAACATTTTTCTGCAATATCCTTCTCTCTGATTAAGATTAATAATTTCATTTGGCATTTATTTTCACCCTTACTCTCAAAAACAGTATATTCAGTAATGATGAACCCAAAGCAAGAGAGAAATGTAACAGAGAACTGAAGAACTAAGAAACCAAATAGCAGAACGTCCAAATTGTTTTAAAATGCTTTGCAAAGCAATCTCATATTCAGTCATGGATTTCGTAATAGAAGATGACTTATAGGACCGATATTGAATTCCTGTATAATAATGCAACACATAAAATGCATGCAACTTTCCAGTTACCATTTGGGGATGTTGATATATTATAGTTTGATTGGTATTTAAGTGTATTAAGGATTTTTTTGTTTGGTGGGTCCCACATATGTTAATACAGAGCTCTGGATTTCATCCAGTGGTGTTCCTTGGGTGTGTAAGGAGTCCTTCCATTTCTGGAAAAATTGTGATTATAATGGAGGCTGTCTCTGGTGAAAGACTTTGGATTGATGGATTTAATCCCTCTTCTTGCCTTTGAACTCCTGTGTCACCTTTCATGTTGTTCAGATGATCAATTAATTATTTTGGGAGGGAGGAACAGGGAGAAAATCACATTTCCCTTACTGGATGGGAGGACCTTTTACTGATAGAAAGACATCTTTGCATATAGCTTCCAGTATTTTATGCCACTTAAAAAGGCTGGTTAAATCCACCATGGAGAATATTCTACAGCCCTTAGTAGCAATGTGTTTCTGGAATAATATTTTTGTGCTAGCATAAACGTAACATTCCACCTTTTCCTACCACCATCACAGATAACTGATGGTTAGTCACAGACAGCAATAGGAACTTGGCTTTTCTACAAGTCATGGAAAGATCTGCACACGGTAAGAAGAGGAACAAACAAAGCTTCTCAACATCTTTGTGAAATATTAGAAGGAAACACAAATGTTTTCTAGTATATTTAGATTTGCATAACTATTTCCTTAAACATCACTGTCTTATTCATACATAAGATCTTTAGCTAGTTTTGGTTGCCATTTAGAAATGCAGTTTCAGATCATTAATATTTTGATTGTGAAGAGGCATTTTCCCCAAAAATTTGTATCCCCAGCACTCGCTAATACAGAGTGGAGTCATTTGGTGTGGCATCTGTAATGTAGGTGTCCAAAGATTATGGACGCTTAGGCAAAAGTGTCTCTGATATCACTGGTTACAAGCATATACTCCATATTCCTCCACTTTGTTGTGCCCTAAAACTGGCACTGAACTTGTAGGGCATAGGGATACCCTGTAGGTTTCAAACATGGTTTGAAGGCATTTACTGGATTGGCTACTGAGGTACAACTTTCAAGAACTTTTCTTGACTTGTCCTTATTTGGTTTCAGCAATCATCAGTTTTTCTGTTGCCTGAATATGGTTTGATATTATTAACACAAATCTACATCCACCTATGTAGCAAAACTAACTCTCTTTTCACTGGGTACAATGATTAAGCAACTGCCTTCCATGCCCACTTGAATCTTGTGAAAAGATTCAGATTCATTAGGGGGCATACTAGTTAACATTTACAATGGAGATTGTAAACATTATATATTTTACAAGATATGTTTCATTTTTTTAGTATCTTTAAACCCATTAGAGAAACTGAGTAACTCTTGGTAGGCAATCTAGCAAAGCTAGCAAGGAAAACTGATTTGCTTTCTACAGAATAGATAACCCTTGTCTGCTAGCTCTGCACAAAACAAGCCATCATAGAATAGAGTAAGCACAACTCTATTGTGTGTGTATTTGTGTGCACAAGTACCTCAATACCTGTACACATGCACAAACTGTTCCAAATAAGAAATTTGCTACATTTTCCTCAAGACCAATGTTAGGTTGATGAAAGCTATACGCATGACCTAATCTATTACTTTTCAATGTCTTCTTTCCTCCAGAAAAGCAACTTTCTGAAAGATGCCGCAGTCTCATCCAAATTAATCTTCATATCTCTTGGGGCTGATAACATTTTAAATAAGCTTCTCCTAATTCACTTATATTTTCTGGATACATATCCAATATATGAAATTTCAGTCAGATCTTTTAAACCAGGTGTAAACCTTAGCATTATATTATCAAAAGCAGCAACAGTAATTAGCTTAAATTAGTTTTACTTGCCATTTTATTTATGTTAAAAAGGACAATCTAAACTGTATTTAAACAGGCAGAGCCCTTGGTTATGAATTGCTGTTTTATCCTACTGTTAGATATAACAAATACACAGAAAATTATAAAGAAATGAAATCTTTCCTACTGAAAATCAGCAGAATTTAAATGTACCTAAGACTGCCTGAATTCCTTTTAACAGCCATGATCCAGAATGAAGGTGCATTTTAGATTTTTTCTCCAGCAGATCACACTTGCCTGTAACACCCTGGCTGGTTTCAATTTCAGTTAAAGTTAAGTTAAACTGAAATTGCACTGGAATTTAAATAAATCATGACCAAAAATGTAATCCTAATCCTTTAGTCTTACAGTTAGAAGGAGCTAAGATTTAGTCGAGATGTCTTATATTATTCTCTGCCCTTGAAGAAAAAGTCCACCTTAGTGGACTTCTTCAGTAGATGTTTCAAGGGTGAGTTGGAATCAGTTTTGTAGCCATTGGATCCAAAGCTACTCCAGTCTGCTGGTCTAGGCTTCTTACCTATAATATCCTAGATCTGGTATTGGAAAATTTAAACAAAGATCTTGTTTGTTCAAAGAATTTATTTTCAAAACATTTCTAGGCATACACTTGGGAAACACCTTCGATACTGGCTATTGTAATTTGTTTCAAAGAGATCTCTCTGATATTTGAACTAATATCAAGATATGCTAAGAGAAATACAACATTATGATTAAAAATCTACACAAAAATGAATAAAATTCACTTTAAGATTTTTACAAAGTGCAAAAACTAATAGTATCAAAATCTCTTAACTTTTTTTTTCATTCACATGCTGCAAATAACTATGCATGATTTTTTGTTTCCCTTTAGGTGTTTGTTGCCCTTAGCTATATTTAGTAAAAGGTGAAAGATTTATACTATCTAAGCTATTCTCTTAGCTATATCAATACTAAAATGTAATTTGCCTTTAACCCAGGAAATACGCACTAACCAAATGATGAGAAGCATTTTTGCTGAATAAAATCAGGCATAAAAAGCCACACTGTTTGCCAAGGATAGCCAACTGCTAATTGCAAATGAAAGCTATAGGTTCTCTCAGGCCATTTTTACAATTAATTAAGCATCCTTAGTTAGGAATGGAGCCTATTGTAGCAAAATTCAGGTTAAATACACAAAGATTCGAGTTAATTACACAATACTGCTTATACAGCATTATACAATAATACTGTTTTGGCTTACATATAAATTCGACTTAAGGATAGACTCTGGGAACAGAACTTGTTCTTAAACTGGGGACTACCTATATAAAGGATTCACATCTCTTACTAACTTTCCAGGAAAATATATGCTTATTAAATTGGGTTCTTCAGGGGTTTAGATTGGGTATCCACTCATAGATTGAGTATCTATGGACAGGGCTCATATTGTGTTTTATTTTGTGAAAAATACTGGGGTGGGGGGACATTATATAAACATGTTATTCTCATCCTACATTATCAGTGACAAAGGCCTGAGATTTTAAACACAAACATTTAGAAGTAACTAGCCTTAAGTTCTATGAGCTTTATTTCTACATCTGTGCATTTAGGGTTGAAGTGTAATATTTACATTTACTCCCACAACATAATAAACCAACCCAAATAATATACAGTTGCATAGCCATATGCCATAAACATTTTAAGAACAGAGCATTTTTACAGTATTATTTTAGGTCTAAGATGTAGGATGGTTTGAATACTTAGAATGTTCCTCTTTTCCCTGAGTATATGTAAAGTATCTGGTCTGCCCTTTAACCACTGTGCAAAAGGTAGTGTTTTGATACAATTCAAATACAACAAATAATTTCAGAAAGACTGTACAGAAGGATTACATGAGGTCTTGGGATGCTGTGTTCATGGGCTGGCTTTGGAAGACCATTTTTGGAAGGTGGTGGTGTAAATTGTTGAGAAGACTGTCTGGAGTCAGGAGAACTCATAGGAGTGAGTGTAATGGAAGAAATATCTAAGCAAGGAGAATCCTCACTGTTATACCAGAAAAGGGTAGAAGGTCTTTGAAACAAGTGGTGTTCATAATCAGACTGTATGTGCAGCAGCTGTAAAGGAATCACAGAAAGAGAAAAATATTCTAAGGAGTGAAAGTAGAAAGAAAAGGGAAAGGGGAAAAGTTCACTTTTATAAAAAAACTCATTTTCAACCATATC